GTCGCAAAGGGGGCTCTTATCGACCGGAGGTAATAATGAAAACTACCGCAATAATAACAGAATACAGAATACCTACATGCAACAGCAGTTCAGAGTCCAGCACTATCATAGGACTTCCAAGGACTTCCAAGTTCGTGTTGCTCCTGTCTCACCCCACCTTAATTATGTAACATCCTTCTAAAGGGGCAGAGGGGGTGAAAGGTTCCATTGGAAGCCCATAAGCCATGAGCCATGCGCATTGAGGTGCGTGCCTTGGTCCTATAACTTTTCAATACAACTTGAACTTGCACGCACTTGCTTGCACGCACACGGCCACACGCACACTTGTAACAGTGCCACTTGTTACTTGTTAGCCAGCCAGGCCGGGTCGGGTCAGGTTCTGTCGTGGTCTACCCGTTCACTGTCGCTCAGGTGCCCAAACTTTTGGAACCAGCCCAGCAACTGCAGCGTCAATCTTTCACTTATTAATTCCAACCTTTTTATGGAACAGAATTTCTGCATTATCCGTTAATGTTCTCTTCAATTTGCCTTGAACGAGGGCCTTAGCTTCATTCCCCCCCATTTGCCCCTTGTTTTATTCAATAAGTGCATGATAGGCATTGACATGATATCAATACAGGATCGCCGATAAAACAATATAGCAATGTCAACTCCAGCAACCGAACAACAACATTCGCATCAGCATCAGCATCATCAGCCACATCCTTCTTCTCATCATCATCACCATCGTCACTCGTCGACTTCTTCCCCTAGGTCCCACCATACTAATCAAGTGCCGGTGCGAAGTCACTCGACTCGTTCACGCCCGACTAGTTCCACCGCCGCCGCTCCACCCCCATCTTCACCTCCCCAACATAACAACGACTCCAACCAGCCTCCCTTGACCGCGACCTCCCACAATAACGACTACCACCATCACCAACGTCATCATAGCCGACAACCTTCAGCTTCTGGTCGTCCTCTGCAAGACATCCTACCCAAGCAGGACTATGAAACCTCGAACGTAGTCGCAGGTCATCATCAGCCTAAGCGAAGTTCCAGCAAAGACCGTCCTCCCCCGGTCTCGCGTGGTACCGACTCCAAAGGCGTACACCGACGAAGCAGCACAAGGTCAACCCACGGTCAAGGCGACATGGCAGGCCCTACTGCTGTCGCAAATAACGCCGGCCCAGCTGCCATCCCTCCCGTCATGCAAGCCGCCGTAGAAGCTCGAGCGACTGGTGCTAAGCAGAAGACGTCGAGAACTTCTATTCCCACACAGTCTGGGAAATGGATCTTAGGCAAGACAATTGGCGCTGGCAGTATGGGTAAAGTCAAGCTTGCTCGCAAGGAGGATGGGACAGAACAGGTTGGTATCTTTCTCTCTTATCTACCTAGTCCGCCACTTTAGAACCCCTTCGCTAAACGACATTCTTGCTCAGGTTGCCTGTAAAATTATTCCGCGAGGCTCTACCGAAGATGGCCACCACAGCCGAGCCGATAAGGAGAGGGCCGACCAGTCTAAAGAGATACGGACTGCGCGCGAGGCTGCCATCGTGACCCTCCTACAGCACCCCCACATCTGTGGAATGCGGGATGTGGTCCGCACAAATTACCACTGGTATATGCTATTCGAATATGTGAACGGCGGCCAGATGCTCGATTACATTATTTCTCACGGAAAGCTAAAGGAGAAGCAAGCGAGGAAGTTCAGCAGGCAGATCGCCAGTGCCCTGGACTACTGCCATCGAAACAGCATAGTCCACCGCGACCTCAAGATTGAGAACATCCTTATCAGTAAGACGGGCGATATCAAGATCATCGATTTTGGTCTCAGCAATCTGTTCGCGCCACGTGGCCATCTCAAGACATTCTGCGGTAGTCTCTATTTCGCCGCTCCCGAGCTTCTTCAAGCGCGAGCTTACACTGGACCTGAAGTTGATGTGTGGAGTTTCGGTATCGTTCTGTACGTGCTGGTCTGTGGCAAGGTTCCCTTTGACGACCAGAGCATGCCCGCTTTGCACGCAAAGATCAAGAAGGGACTCGTGGACTATCCTAGCTGGCTATCTAATGGTAAGGAATCTAACCTGGACTACTGTGGTCTCGTGTAAACTAATATGGACTTCAGAATGTCGACATCTATTGTCTCGTATGCTTGTCACCGACCCAAGACAACGAGCAAATATGCACGAGGTCATGAATCACCCATGGATGATCAAAGGCTATGGCAGTGCACCCGAGAACTACCTGCCAGCTCGCGAGCCCTTGTCGCTTCCCTTGGAACCAGAAGTCATCAGCGCCATGACTGGCTTCAATTTTGGGCCGCCGGAGGTGATCAAGGCCCAGCTCACCAAAGTGATTGAGTCCGACGACTACAAGCGTGCCGTAGCACTCTTACAGAAAGAGAAGGAAATGCCACCTGTTCCCAAAGACATTGAGAAGAAGCGAGGATTCGGGTTCGATTTCTATAAGCGACGTAACTCTGGAAGTAGTCGTGACAACTTGACGACCCCTAGTTCAGATGCTTTGCAGCTCGGCGTTGACCCGCTCAACGCCTTCAGCCCGCTGGTCTCGATCTACTATCTAGTGAAAGAGAAACAGGAGCGGGACCAGGTGGATGCCGTACCCAAGTCTCACCCACCAAAGAATGTCGCGGACTCCCCCATGCCGGAAATCGTACCTCCGCCTGAGGCGCACACAAATACGGCGGCTTACGAGATGGCGGGAGAGAAGGCTACCGGGGGACGAACGAGACCGCGCGCCAGAACTCACGGGGAAGACGATGCTCCAGAGGAGACCATCAAGGCCCAACAGTCGCCTAACGTACCTGTCCCTCCGGAACCGCCAGCGGACGTGCCACAAAAGAAGGAGAGTACTGCTGCTGGTATCCTCAGGCGATTTAGCACCAGACGCCGGAAGGAACCAGAGAGGCTCGATAAAGATCGTTCTCATCCGCCGGTCGTCCATGTCCACTCGCCATCCGAAACGCCAGTACCACCGCGGAAGAGCTTTTCCATTCGAAGATCGAGACGAGATCAAGACGACCACCAACCGACGAGGTTACGGTCTGGGAGTAGCCAGCCGCAGCATCGAGATCTGCTCAGCCCGCCACTATCTGCTGGCGGTAACCTGTCTGGCAGTAAGAAGGGCTTGGGACGGTCGACTAGCGTGAGCTCGGCGGAGTTCAGACAGCGGCCTTTCGGGTCCGCCAACAGAGTCGCCAAAGACCCGCCACCGACCAGCGGCTCCGACCAGTCGGCGGCCACGGACAGGGCCCCGCCGGAACCGAAGAGCACTTTGAACCCTCGAGCCAAGTCGATGAGAGCAAGACCGCTGGGCCATGCTCGTCGGGAGAGCATCCAAGCGAGGAGGATGCGTAGGGAAGGAGCTCGCGCCGCGGACGTGCCTGAGGAGACGGATCAGGATATTGGTGAAGCGAGCGGAAACTCGGCAGAACGCTTAGACGACTCGGAGTTGGCCAAGCCAGTTTTTCTGAAGGGACTCTTCAGCGTTTCCACGACGTCGACCAAGTCAGTGCCTGCTATTCGTGCAGATGTTAAGAGGGTACTGAAACAGCTTGGCGTCGACTACACGGAAATCCGCGGAGGCTTTTCCTGCCGACACACGCCTAGCATCGATCTCAAGAAGGGAACAGATGCGCCGGGAAGCCCCGCGCCAAATCCTAACCATCGCCGCAGGTTCAGCTTTGGCATCAGGACCGAGCGGGATCGTGACGAGCTCCGGGAGGGTGACCGGATACCTCCTACTCCACGGACACCCGGAAGGGGACAGACTGATAGGGGTGACTCGACGTCAGATGTCTCTGACCCGGAGAGTATTCATCGAGACGCTACCGGGTCCTCAAGGAGAGTACCAGGTGAGACAACCACGCACGTGCACAGCGATCTGGGCGGAAACATGGTCCTCGAATTTGAGATCTTCATCGTAAAGGTTCCCCTACTCTCGCTGCACGGAATCCAGTTCAAGAGGATGGAAGGGAATACGTGGCAGTTCAAGAATATGGCGGATCAGATTCTGAAGGAACTGCGGTTGTGATCACCTCCCGTGGACGAATTGGTTCCGTGTTTAACAAGGAGGCATGCTAGGAGCAGGGGATAGTTGATAGTTGGATCTGACCGACAATGTCAGCAAATACGCCCTTCTCCCATTATGACTATGGCGTCTACTGTATTGTCTGGTCCTGGATGGTGTCAACGCTGGCCGCCGTCGTTTGCATACGCGTTGAATTCGTCGTCGCCCACCGGTCTTGGAGGAGGACTTATACTGGTCTTGCGTCTGGGTTGATTGCGAGAAAGATTTTAAGAAGATAGGAGAGAACAGGCCGTGCCTAGAACTCCTCGTCGGTGCGTTCCGTTGTATGGATCCGGAAGCAATTGGGCAATCGGATTCAACGAACGGGACTGCTTACTGCTTACTACTACTATTACTTCTTCTTCACGACCATGATGTTTTCTTAATAGCAAATACAGAGGCAGTAAAGTAGAGCAGGAGGCTGTAATGTAGAAAACCAGGCAGGCAAGGCAAGGCAAGCAAGCAAGCAAGCAAAGCAAGGCAGCTAAACAAGCAACATCTCTGCCTCTCTCTCTTCTCTCTGGGTGACGGACGGGTGGACGGACACAAGGCACTTAAAGAAACTAATACAGTCATGTTCCCGTTCACGCTTTGGGCTGTCCTTAGGTCGGGTATAGGAAAAGAAGGGAAAGGAAAGGTGCAAAAGGTGCTAGTTAAGGTACCTCACCTAGGTAGATTAATGGATTCACGATGTTGACAATACGAATTTTGCTCTTGTGCAAACAATAGCTACCCGCCTACCCCAACTGACATATCTCCTTGGATATATATGTAATAGTTGTAGGTGAAAGGAAGTTCTGAGGATGCGTGGGGGTTAGATTAGATTACCGCTGTAGCTGGCTGTAGCAGCCCCACCTGCGGGTGCTTGGAAGTAATCCCCCCTACGAAGTAGATGGTAATATTATGTCACATAATATCTCTGCAACCATGGTCCTATAGCTCAGTTGGTTAGAGCGTCGTACTAATATAACTACCGGTTATACATAGTACATGCGAAGGTCGGCGGTTCGACCCCGCCTGGGACCATCTTTTTGTTAACATTGTACTACCAAATCATTCATTTATGCTTCGGATTTGTTTGGTTCATTAACGTCGTTGACATCGGCAGCCATATATGTGTCTTTTTTCTTTTGAGTTATCGATTCTAGTGTTGCTTGTTTTTCTATCAATAACTGGATACGTTTATTTCCTTGCAACATAATGCGGAAGACAGCGATACAAGCCTCGCGTCGGCTATCTTCCATTTCAAGGTGGTGTTGTACAGAGATAGGTCCCTACTCGTCCTTCCAGAGGAAACTGGGCGTAGCAGATCTATAGCCCAGCATTCTCCTTACCCGCTACGTACGAGTGTAGGACCTGAAGAACTCGGCATCGTGTCTGCTATCCAATAGCTATAGATACTCCGGAATCCGGAGCCTCGTCCAGAGGATACAGCAATCAACAACCTCGCCATCCTTATGTCCTGACTACTCAAACGTTTGCGGCTGCGATGAAGACTGCAGTTTTATCCTCAAGCAAGAGAGCTCCTGATAGTGCAAATCTGTAAGCCAATCGAAGATTTTGCATACAGCCGCATCTTAGGTCTTTGTCTTCTCAGACTTGGTTCGCATTGCTACTTTCTCCGATAGTATGGGCAAAGGAAACCCCCCGACAAGACTGATAGCTCGTCTTCCAAGTAGCAGGGTGTGTTACCGAGGAACTGTGTATAATTTCGCACATGTATTCCTTCATACGTAGCTAATAGCCACTGTAGACGACGATTCCAGTGGCATTTTCCGATTCAACCCTAGACGTCAGACCATCTGGATCTAATTAAATATACGGACCTGTATCTAGCGCTTAGAGGACCTGACGCTCTTCGTATGGCCGCCAAATGTCACCTCGTCAGTCCGCTCGGGGGCATACCTCATCCTTGATGAGAAGCAGCAATGGCGGAAAGCCCCCACGTATGAGGCCCGATGAGCGAATACCGGCGGAACACAGACACGTGGTACCGTCCAGTCTCTTGCGCGATGGAATGTCGCCCGCCCATCTACTGCTACGTTGGGCTGCCTTAAGCGCGAGGAGATCCTCCAGACTCCTTCGTCAGCAGTGAGACAGTGGTGGGACTCGAGTCAGGCGAGCTGCGTGGCGCTCAGAAGAAACCTTCGGCTGACATAGCTCCAGCAGTCAGTCGAGGAGCGAAGATGAGGACAAACATGGACAGACTGACACGCTAGCAAACTCCCATCAGGGTCAAAATGGCACAGAACAAACCCGCAGACCTGTCCGTTTGCTTTTATTCAACGGGGGAAAAGTTCGTTCCTCGATTGGTGAGAAAGAAAAAAGGATAGAGATATTTTTAGTGTGACGCTCTAACCAATTAAGCTATTTAAGCTATTGAGAGAGCGGATGAGAGAAAAGTACATTATCAGTCTATCTCCGAGAAGCTATCAGATCTCGACCCAAAGCAGCGCGGCTGAGAGGCGGACAGCCAAACAGCAGACTCGTTCTTCCGAGCGCGATAGCTTGAAGATAACAGATCACTATTGTCAACCTAGAAGGAGATGAGTGATATTGTCCTAGCACAGTGGTTATCTATATAACACTAACGTGCCAGGAGACACACAGAACTTGAAGATATTGCCAATGTCTTGATGGAATCAGAGATCATGAAGAAAGGGAATAAAGAGACTAGTACTATTCGTACATACAGCGTAGATAGAGGCCATTAGATAATGACTTATAGAATGGCCCCCACTGTCCATAAGGCAAACAGGTTAGGTATGACATAAGTACCTCCTCACCTATGTACAGTATGTGAGTACATGGTACATACATACCAGGTGAGCTTCACAGTAGTATTAACGGAAAAGGTTAGGGACGCAAAAGTTGGTCAATGCTCCTTTCTTTTGGCCCCATCCGCGATGCATTCCAGTCGGGTCGGCAAATTGCGCAGGTGGAAAAGGTGGAAATTGGGTAATCCATGGTATCAATCGATGCGAAGATAGGCACAACAGCATTTCAAGTCTTCAACCTTCCTCATGTACAGTTTGCATTCTACCAAAAGCCGCGAACTTTGCAACCATTACAGACACTATAATAATTTCTCTCAATTTCAAAATTTCATTCCTCTTCTTCTTCTTCTTCTTCTTCTCCTCCTCACCACTCCTTTGACCGAGGTACTATCTTGTGCATATCGAGCATATCGTGCACCTCGTTCAATCGCATCTATCCCCTTCTTCCCCACCACCTCATCCCAACTCGAACACGTACAAATCTTACCTTTCGATAAACACCCCCACCTCAACTACCCAGCCCTACTAGATACCTAACTCATCCCAAGTGCACTCTCCTCTGCCAGAACCGACTTCGCAGAGAGATAATCCCGCCGCTGTTTACCATTGCGCGCCGAGAGCGAGGCTATCGCGTTGCCGAACAGCTACTACATTACAACATCGTAGAGGAGTGCTTCCTCGAACCCGACCATTTCCAAGCCGGTGCCGAAGTCCTACAAATATCTGCCTCCTCACACCGTCGGAGCAGTTCAACATCTTTTTTAGAAGATCGCTGATCTTGCTTGGAGCCGAACAATCTGGAAGGCGAGGCGAGGAACAGGCACAACAGAAAGTGACCGGGAGTAGACACTCGAGTCACCAAGGTCGCTATCCAATACCACGACCATGATGCCGAATCAGTCCCTCTACGGGCACCACCCGTATAATCCACATACTGAACAGCCGTGGATGCATCAGCAGCCGAGCCACCAGCACCAAGTTCAGCAGGCTGCCGCCGCCGCTGCCGCCCAGCAGCAGCACTACAATCGACTGGCAAGCGCCCACAACAATCTCACTGCGAGCATCGGCGCCCCCACGCCAAACCACGGTGGTCAGGAGAATGGCTTGGAAAATGTGTCGGAGGACAACCGTCGAACCTTGACCTTCGTCGCCGATCTGCTCAACGAAAGCACCCGCGAAGCTGCTCTCCTTGAGCTCAGCAAGAAGCGAGAACAAGTTCCCGAGCTTGCACTTATCCTGTGGCACTCGTTTGGTAAGTGGGCGCGCGCCTCATCTATAGACATAGATCTGTTTAGTAGATGAACTCTCGCTAACTTGCATCACAATGACTAGGCGTCATGACTTCTCTCATGCAAGAGATCATCTCGGTCTACAATCTGCTCAACCCATCCCAACTCACCGCTGCTGCTTCCAACCGAGTCTGCAACGCCCTCGCCCTCCTACAATGCGTGGCGTCGCATAACGATACGAGAACCTTGTTCTTGAATGGTACGTCTTCTCTTTCTCTTCTACGTTACTCTCCTACGCGCCGACTAGCTGTCCTGCCAGTGCTTGCTAACAAGACATGTAACAATAGCTCACATTCCTCTTTTCCTCTACCCTTTCTTGAACACGACCTCCAAGTCTCGACCGTTCGAATACCTCCGGCTTACGTCGCTCGGTGTGATCGGCGCATTGGTTAAGAACGACTCGAGCGAAGTGATCAACTTCCTACTCACCACGGAGATCATCCCCCTCTGCCTTCGAATCATGGAGACGGGATCCGAGTTGAGCAAGACGGTAGCCATATTCATCGTTCAGAAGATTTTGCTGGATGACAATGGTCTCAACTACATCTGCGCCACGTACGAGCGCTTCTACGCCGTTGGAACGGTATTGAGTAACATGGTAGCTCAGCTGGTCGAGCAGCAGACGGCCAGACTCCTCAAGCATGTTGTCCGTTGTTTCCTACGTCTCAGCGACAATGCCCGTGCCAGAGAGGCCCTCCGCCAATGCCTTCCGGAACCGCTCCGCGACGCCACTTTCAGTTCTGTACTCCGCGACGATGCCGCTACTAAGCGTTGTCTAGCACAGCTCCTGATCAACCTCTCTGATAATGTCGTTGAGACGCCTGGTGGTCACAATGGTCTTTAAATACGTCGTCGACTCGCAAAGGGTGGCGCGGCTGGTTACAGTACCGCTATCAAGTCAAGTTCCTGGGACAGCCGCCCCCACCTCACAATGGTTCTACCTATCGCAAATTCCACATTTACCTTTCTTGACACCAGTCGGTAAACTAGCGAAGATATCTTTTAATACCCTCAACCCATCTTATAATGCCAGTCAGAGGCAGGTCATGATCCTTAAGATGGGTTGTGGTGTTGAATCGACTTGGTGATGGACCGTATCGACAGGTTCAGTAATATTGACATTCGTTATGACTCGGCATCTCTCGTTATCCTCGGCCTTTGAAGAGAATACGAGCAGTCCGGACAGAGAAAAAAAAGGTTGAGCTGCATGAGATTTTCCAGCAGCTAAGAGATATGAAAAGTTTCGGTTTCGCGTACACGAAGCGATGGGTCAGGACGACGGCTTGCATGGGTACGGGCGACGCGGGCATGGATCCCTCTCGATTATCACGACGATAGATACATAATAGTCCGGTTTCTTTTCGTATTCGGTTTGGTTTGGTTTCGCATCGGATTAAGAATCACGGTATACCCTAAGATTTCTCGCGGCCACACGTCTGTTTCCCGATACCACAACACACCTACACATACATTCACATTGACGGCGTTCGGTGTACCTGTTATTAGGGGGGGGGAGGAAAAGACCCTATCTGAAGAAGGGATGGCGTTGACTTCTTTTTCTACCACCCCAACTGGACGCGCCTTAGGTACATGTTCTTTTCCGGACCTTGCTCCCAGCGGAAGGCGATCAGTTCGGTAGTAGAATCATTAACGCATTTAAGTTAGGCGTCGATTGAGTTTCTAGCGTTTCGCGGTGTCCATCATCCAGAGAGATACATCCAGCCAATTTTGCCCGGCCTTTGAGCGTCGCATCCTTGCCTGGGCTCATGGTACAGGCCTCGTTTGCTCTACGGGTTGCGTTGCTCCTTGGCTTTGTACAGTACGTGTATGCCATGGACAATAAAAGTCGTATTCTTTCCGACACTTGTTGTTGGTGATGGTGTGCGTGTTTGTCTGTCTGAGGTGTTCTGGTGCGTGCTTCCTACCTGCTTACTTACCTACCTCTACTCAGGCACTTACC